CGGAGCCGTTGGGGGTTGAGTGCTGCAGAAATCAGTCGCGGAAGACGATGAAGCTACAACCGTCAAGACACTCACGGTATGCGCTCCACCAGCCAACCATGTGAGGTACTACATACTGCTCATCCACCAACCATATTCCGAACGGCTCCCGCCTGCTCCCATACATCGAGAGGTTGGCGGGGTTATAGTAAGGGTTCTCAGTGTCTCCACGCGCACGCTTGTCCTCGACCGCGAGGCAGACGACGAAGGGGGGGACGACAATGTTGGCGTTCGGATCACGGTCCGCCTCGAAGAACATGGCTTGCAGGAGATTCCGCACGTCGCGTATGAACAGGGTGCACCATGATTGAAAGGTGGCGTGCGTGCTAGCTGGCTCGCGACAAAACGCGTGCTCGCAGATGGCGGCTATGTGGTAGATTCGGTCTCGGCGTACCGAGAAGTCACTGGGCATAGTGGTTCAACGTTGAACATTTACTAGCGGCGATCCGCTACCTGTAGGTAGTAGTCGTCAATTTGTCGACTCCTAGGCTCTTCACATATCGGACTCTTACACAGTATATGTGAGAGGCGCGGCACTGAGGGTTTCGCCACAAGGGTTGACGTTGAGTTAACGTTGAACGTTACTGCTAAGTTTTTGACGAAGTTGTTTTCGTTCGGCGCTACTAGTTAGAACTGACAGAACAGCGTTTCCCACGTTCAACCTGCACGTTCAAACTACTACTTACTTAGGCTAGTACTGTGCAGGTGACCGTACTTACGCCCAAGACGAAGACGACAAATCTGCACATGTCGAATCGCTGCATTTCAGCTCGCCCCACGCAATGTGTTGCCCTTGCGCGGAGGGCCAAGAGCTTGACGCCATCCATCACGCTGAACCATGACCTCCGTGAATCCGAGTCGGCAACAGTCCACCTCAAGGCTACTGTCGTCGTTGTGTACGGTCACCATATGTCACTGGGTTGAGGAGGGGGGCCGCCTCATCCAGGGCAAACCGCAAGGCGAAAATACCAATAGAGCGACTGCCATCGAGGCACGCAGCGTGGGTGACTGTCAACGGCGGCAAACAAGTCCAGAGTGTGCAGTGCATCCGCTCAACGCCGCACAGTACGAACACAGAGCATATGCCAGATGCACAACGAACAAACGATCAGATACACGACGCGTCATACAGCGATCCGCACCGGTTTTGCACACCCCGTTCCTCGTCCGACCACCCCGAAGCCCCGCCCAGCCAGAAGCTCTAGAGTCTACGTCGTGCACACCCCATCCTGAACCTCAGGCAGCGATGCACGAGGGGGGATCACACCAGCGGACGCGTCTTGTACAGGAGCACGTACGCCGACGCGTCCTGCCCGCCGCCCGAGAGCGTCTCGAGCTTCTCCTGCGGGAAGATGGACACCTTGTCGTCGTCGAACTTGTACCAGTCCTCGTCGTCCTCGTCCGGGGCGGAGCCGGTCGTGGACGGAGTCGAGCCGTGCAGCGCGCGCTTCTTCACGAACCCGATGTAGTGCCCTGCGTCTGCCTCTGCGCCCTTGTGCGTCACGATCGCTGTGTGTCGTGCCGTGAGCTGGGATCGCGCGCTGTGGCATGTGAGCGAGCGTGGCGGGGGCACTCACCGACGAGCTCGTACTGCCCTGTTGTGCTGCAGCCGACATCGGCCTTGAGATCGGGGTGGACGAGAGCTTCCAGCTCCTTGCCCTCTTTCTCCCGGTAGACACTCTCGTCCTCGAGGTCCGCTCCAGCAACCGTCTTCCCCTTGTCGGCGTCACCCTCGGCAACTGGCTCGGGAGCAGACGAAGAGCCGGAAGGAGCAGACGCGTCGGCCATCTGAACATCCCCTTCCTTGTCCTTTGCCGGTGGTGCAGCCTTCGTTCGCTTCCGGACCTTCCGGCGTTCGGCGCGCTCCTTCTCGAACACCTTGAGCTTCCTGCTGATCGGCAGCAGCTTCTCCTTGAGCTCGGACGTCGCGATCTCCAGTGCGTCGTACTCGGTGGGGAACTTCACCCTCCTCTACAATGTATGTTCAGCATGCGGCACGGAACACTCTTTGTCTTGGTAGACGCACCATGATCTTCGCCTTCTTGTTGATGTCAGCCTTCCATGCGAAGCGAACCATGTGAACGGTGAGGTAAGAGGGTAGGCGCGAGAGACGTTGTGTCGAAGTGTACACCGCATCGCGCCCGAGGGTAGCGGAGCGTTTCTCGATCTTGCCGTCCAACGCCTGGCATCCGCTTGAGTGTGTGTCCAAAAGCAAAAGGGCGCTCTGGTCGAGATCGACCCACCTCCATGATACCTTGTTGCATATAGTTGACCGCATTTGAGATATTACACGAGACCTTGAGTGCCTTCTCGAAAGCGACAGATTCAGGCTCTTCAGGGGCCTCGTCACACTTCAGGCTGGACGCAACGTCATGCCACATCAGTACCCTCACCGCGCGAGCAGACAAAACGCATACACTTGTCGCAACTCGCCCGTCATGTACTGTTCGACAAACTTGGCGTTCGGGGACGCTTCCGACGAGGGCCCCGGAAGTCCTGGCACTTCTCTTAGCGCATTGGTCATCTGCACCCAGCACTCTTCCGCATCTGCAGTGACGTCATCGTTTACAGAACTTCACGAAGCGCTTCGAGGAAGCAAGCGCATACCTTGCTGCGCATACCCCCCGCCCATGAGCGCCTTCAGGCCGGTCGCGCGCGACTGCTCAGCGAATTGCGGGAACGCGTGACGGAGGGCAGCGAGGAAGAGGGACGGCGTGACGCTGTCTGTTGTGCTGCTCATGTTCGTGTAGAGGTTGCGTAGCTGCAATGGGAGACCTTGTGGCGCAGAGCTATACCGTGGACATGAAGATAGAATTGGTGCCAGAGCGATGATGTACGCACCTCTGGAGAGCAGTCTGAAGTTCCGAGATGGCGCGCATCGCTTGGAGGGTCGCGTTCATGTAACATGTGTTACCCATGTTCACCAATCCGACAGGCAAGGCGAGCTGTGAAGGACGCATGTGGGCTGGTGTACGCGCAGCCATTCGTTGGTACTCACTGCTTGTGCCAGGGAGGTGTCATCCATGTCTGTAGATTCATTGTCGGCATTCAAGCGATGCAGGTTTAGTATGGCGAGCACAACGCACCTTCCAAGAACTGGATCGGCGTCGAAGGCGGCTTTGGAAGCTCTCCCGCCGCACCGATCACCATAAACGTTTGTCCCTGTCCGCAAAAGAGGGAGTCAATCTCGGGAACGCGAATGCGTTCGCCACCGCGACTGACTGCTTTGGGAGCGACCTTTCGCCAGTCGGTATCGTCCTGAGATGCGCATGTAGTCAGAACAGACGAGCACGTATTTCAAGAGATCTTGACACACCTTCAGCATACCGCCCTTGATCATAACCTTCATCCGATCTGGCGGCACTCCGGTGACCTGATAGACGGCATCCTTGAAGACCGCAGCGGGGAGGTCCGGATCGAGCTTGACGTCGTGCACCTTGCCTGCGTGCTTGATTTTCACGTCGAGAGGGGCCATGCTGTCGGGGTTGGCGATATGCGTGGAAGAGAGAGTGCAAGGTGTTTGTGGCCACCACGACGCGTACGCGCACGCGTAAAGCCTTCAGATCTGACAAATCTGCCACCGGCGATAGCCGGGGCGTGCACGGGGCGGGAGGGGCCGGGGAGATGACGTCATGTGCGCAGTGCACCGACGTGTCTCGACGCGTCAAGGGCTGTCAAAGGCGCCAGCGTCCTGCGGTGCCTCGGTGGTGCGCTGCACGCCTCTTACTTGTTCGCATTTTCCTCTCGGACGACCACCACCATCCCCAGCAATCTCTCCCTCATTTCCCCCTCAAGACCCTGAGCAAACATGACTGTGTAGTACGTGCATTCAGAGACCGTGCGCTCGACGTCTGCCTGACGCCTCTGGCCCTCTGCCGCAGCTATACCCTCACCTTCCTCCTCCTCGCGGCGGAGATGGCGACGTTCTGCGTCCTCGTCTTCCCCCTCCCCCACACAGTCCGCAAGAAGCTCTTCCACTTCCTCTCCGAAAGCCCGCTCGTCGCCAAGCTCGCGTACGGCGTCAAGATAGCGTTCATGTACGTCGCATTTCCCCTCCCTCCGCCACAGCTGCTCACAGTGCACACGCACTAGATTCATCGCCATCCTCTTCGTCGACGCGGTGCAGAGGATGTGGCGGGTGACCGCAGAGGCGGACCTCGCGAAGCAGTCGGGCAACGGGGTCCAAAACGTCCAGGCGGAGACGAACGTCTCCGCGCGCAAATTCTAGTACGTGCACACTTGATGTAGCGCAGTGAGACCGTCCCTGACCCGCGAGCACATGTACAGCGCGCAGAGGAACACGTACCTGACGGGCTTCTGCCTCTTCCTCTCCCTCGTCCTCACGCGCACGTTCTACATCGTCCTCGACCTCATCCACACCCAAGAAGAGTACGCGAAGCTCAAGAACGCGGTGCGTGTCTCGCTGCGTTGATGATGAGGGATGCGAGCCTAATATACTAATCGACCGTGCGGTTGCAGAGCGGAAAGTCTGCCGGAGCCGACCAGATGAAGCAGATAGAGGACCTCAAGAAAAAGCTGGCAGCGGCGGAAGCCAAGGCCAAGGACTACGGTACGTTTTCGGTCCCTCTCCCATCGCCCTCATCCGCGGTTCGTGCTGATCCCCGAGTGATTTAAGATATCGTGAAGAAGCAATCTGAGCAGAACGCCAAGGAGTACGACCGCCTCGCCACGGAGTTCAACACGAAGACGGGCAGTGTCTCGGACAAGCGCAGGGATTAGCTTTCTGTGCGATGACGAGTTGAATGGACGCCGACTGGTGGACTCTGAAATGATCGACTGTCTAATACCTCGAACCTGCAATGCTTCTTAGGCATTCAGAAATGTACCCTTCACTAATCTATGTGTTTGAACGACTTCCATGGTGATTGGTATTGAAAACCAACGGCAGTAGGATACTCGGTATTGAACGACCATTGTTGAACCTGGGTCAAGAAAAAAAGTGAACCCTACCCGATTTGAACGGATGACCTTGAGGAAGCAGCAATCATGTACTGGAATCTCACGCGCTACCGCTGCGCCAAGGGTCCTCGATGACAACCTTGTCCATTTGCATTCTGTGCCGGTGACTTGCATCGCTGTCCTCTGAAGTAACAACTTTCTTTGGCACACTGAGTGTGTGGTACTCAAACAGTACGCCATGACTCTACCCGGCGTGCCATATTCTTACGGTATTCTCTTGCTGTCTCGACCTAACACTCCTCATTGACACGACTGACAGCATTAACAGGCTCCGTCCACGATCCACGGTCCTACCAAGAGTCCACCATATCTGGCCGACTCGGAGGCTGGCGAGCCGGTTGACCTAGTCTCACTAAGCCAGACCGTCTCGGCACCGTCGGACACAGTGCTCAGCGCCAGCACTGAGGACATGGATTCGCTTAAAGCTGCTGCTAGGTTATTTGCCACGGCTGTCCTCAGCAGCAGAGCCCGCGTGCCGCAGACCCCTTTGACGGTGCTGGCGACATACTTGAAGAGCACACGGTGAGAGTCAGACTCACTGGCACTGGCAGCACTCCCGGGCAGGCACTGAGGCAGCGCGCCGTGAACGTGATGCTGACGTTGGACGTTAAACGTTAACGTGAAACACTCAGCGCGAGCTGTAGAGGCTACGCCGACGCCGACGCCGACGTCGCTGGCACCAGTGGCAGAAGAACGAGCCTGAGCACGGCCCGGTGGCACTTGCCAACACCGACGCCGCCCGGATCGACGAGGATGATCGATCATCACCGTGACCACGGCCCCCGAGGCTTTAAACTGCGTCTGGCGATCGGACTCGAGCTCGCGTGCTGGGGCCGAGTATCTGGCCGGCACTGGCAGCCCCCTCGCGGTCGCGCGATTGCACTCGCCATCTCCCTTCTGGATTGGACGGCGACGACGAATATTGGCTGGCTGGCTGGCGGCACGAGCGTCGACACTGGCTCGGCTCTCCGGCGCACCGGCAGGCAGTGTGCTGGCACTTCAAGTTCGCGTATCCAAGAGCGTGGCGTTTTGTGCACGACTGGTCACTGCACAGTGTCACGTACCGACGGACGGTCGCGGGGACGTGGTCATCGCGGGGGCTGCAAGGTGTCAGACACACCGCCTGTGGCAGGGGGAGGTTCGACTCCGGAGATCCCCATCAGGCCGCGACGTCGGATACGTAGGCTCCTATGCTCGGAACTTGAAAGCTTGAACTTCCAACCACCATATGGTCGTGAATTCACCCTGCATCTCGGGTGTCGCCCCGCTCTTCCTCCCGAATGCTGGGAAATGGAGCACCTGTTGCCACGTCAATCCGAGTTGTCGATGGCGAAACATAGGCACTACTAGCGACATGCTGAAGTTCTGCTTGTTGTCGGGCCTGCCTTCAACCGACTTGCTCCCAGCCGACTCTGGCTTAACTGAACTGTCGACGTCGCATTCTCGACGCTTCCGAATGACTTCGGGACTCGTCATTTGCGGCGCTCGCCTGGACTTGGTATCCTGGAACGTATCTATCAAGCACTCTGCAAACAGCTCTTGTTGACACGCGGATCCAAGCCCCGACGACGTCCGCGGACTCGGACTAGCCACTGGCAGCAACAGCTGGCAGTTGTTCACCGAAGCAGCGGTTGCCGGCATTCAATTGAGCGGCCGCGTAGCGGATCGCGATCTCTCGAGCGACGGAGTACTCCATTCTACGTCAGCTGTACTTGGACTTGTTCGGTCGTGGAGAACAGGGTATTCTACGCCACACGGGATCAGAGATCGCTTCGTGCTACGAGGACCCTGGACGAACCGAGCACGGGCGACCCCTGGATTGCGCTCCGGGGATCCTCACGCCGGCGGAGAGACTGACGATGCTACGCCGCAGATGCACCGAACACCTCGACCGGAAGCTTCCGTTCGACTCGCACAGAACCGAGTAAGTATTCGATGGCATATATCCTTAGGTCGACCTGATTGACAGGCTCGCAGCGAGCGCAACGTCCGTCGAGTCATGCGTCCGATCGGCTGCGTCCCGGGCCCGCCTGCATGAATCCTGGGGCAGACGCTGTTCTAGGACGACTCGCGAAGAGGCTGCAGGCGTTCTCCGCGGCAACTCCCCGATCCTCCACTGCGTCATCTCCACCGAAGGTCGCGCCCAGGAAACGGGGGTCCCGGACCCACGCCCGCCTCGCTCGTCGGACACAGTCCGTGCAGCCGATTCTCGCCGAGTCGAGTCGCGTCGCAACTCCGCCCACATCTCCCGGCCTTCGCGAAGCTTGCGCGCTGGGAAGCTGCCCGCCGTCCGCCTCCACACTCGTGGGTCCGCTTTCCTCATCCTCCCAGTCCGTCACTCCTTCCTCGCTTTCTCTCGCGCACTGTCTCCGTGCATCGCCCGCCTAGCCCCCGAGCTGCGAGCTTCGACTCCAGCTGGCGACTCCGCGTCCGGAACGCGAAGGCTCGCCAGGCAGGGGGTAAGCGTGCCTGCAGAAGTGGCAGAAGCCGCGGCGGTGACCGAGCGCATGACGTCGCGCCCGCTCTGGCAACTGGCTGCCCCCATGCAGGAAGATCCCATCCTCGTGCTTCCCAAGCCTCTCCAAGCGACGGCCAGGGCGCGCGAACGACTCGAGCGGGAGAAGGCGGGCATAGGGCGATCCGGTCCGAGCTGCCTGCCCATCCTTTCCCGATGCGCTCGCGGACGGCGATCGATCGAGCTCGGCGTGCCCATGCGCCCCGCCGTCCACCCACGACCCGACGCCTGGCGGTGCCTTCAGGCTTCCAGCGCGGTTTGGGTGGCGGCCAGCCCTCGGTCGTGTCCGCGAGAGCCACAACGTGCGAGTCCGTGAGGGCAGGGGTTTTTCCGACGCTCTCGCCGCCCAGCCTCGCTCACGAGTCCGATATACCGATGCAGATCCAACCTTTGCCAAGGACGATGCGTCGGACGCACGGTGCGTACGTGCGTGCCCGGCCGTAGACGGCTGTTCCTTGAAGCTTGAGCCACATCGTGCGCAACGGCGGCGACTCCCGATTCGGGTTTTGCGCAGGCGAAGTGCTCGCTCCGAGTCGCGCGCAAAGGCCATCAGTCCTAGTCATGCCCCATCCCACCGTCCCCTAAGTCCTCACCGTCGCGACCACCCGAGCCCTCGTCCCCACCTCTCACCTCAGGACCGTGCCGATGCTTACCAGCAGCTGGCGGCGGCGGCGGCGGAGAACGAGAGCCAGCACGACTATCGCGGGAAGCGTGCCTCGGCGGGGCCCACGCTCATCCTCAAATCCTTCTCACTCCCACCCGTGCGGCGTGCCTCTTCTCCCCATCGGACGCGTCGGATGTGGCGCGTGCCGAGCCAGGAACGCGCCTCTTCCAGCTCTCGAGCTCGAGCCAGACAGACGGACAGACGGACAGACAGGCTCGTCACTCCGGACGGACTCCGTGCTGAGCGCTGAGCGCTGAGTTATGACTGGCTGCCTAGCTCTCATTTCCTCGTCCTCGTCCTCCTTCTCCTCCTCCTTCTCCTCCTTCTCCTTCTCCTCCTTCTTCTCAATCCAGTTCACGCTCGAGAACGCGAACCGAGGCAGAGCGTACGCGGCTCGCTGCTGCACCGAACGCCCTTGATCCCTGGCAGCCTGAGGGTCCGGGATGCCGCCAAAGTACAGCGTTCGAACGTTCAAGGTCCCAAGGTCGAAGGCCCAAACGAGAATAGCTCTTGAAAGAGATCCCAAGCCCGTACCCGTGCCCGTGCCCAAGCCCGAGCGATCTTCCTCTCGCGAACCCATCTCTCTTTGGGCGCACGTCCCGGACTCTCCGAGTCTACAACTCCCTTTGGGGCCGTGCACGACTGAGACCCGTCGCGACGACGTCCAGGCTCGGGCTCGGGCTCGAAGCTTGAAGGGAGTCCGGCGGGTCCAGGTTCTGTCAATCACTGCAGCCTGGCGTCCGACGAATGTTCGAGTTCACGCGTGCGGATGTCTCAGTCGTCTGCGTTCGCCGGGCGCACTAGTCGCTACCTGATCATGACGAGTCCACACTACATACCTAGTCCCCAATTGTGAGCGCTTACTTGTCAGCGAGCACACAAAGAATCATGAATATTCCCTAGCAGTGCGATAGCTGGAGCGCAAAGGCTCCTTCCCGTCGGGTCTCTCTCTAGACTCTCCCAGCCCCAGCTCTCTCTTGGCCCTTGGGTTACGGTATCCGAATCCTGCCCTATCCTGCTGCCGCTCCGATCGTGCGTCCGCGCCGGGGGCCGCTTCCCGCTGTCGCGAGCCTGAGCACCGAGCACTCGCTCTCCAGCTATGTATGCTATGGGCAAGGGTACGACACATGCACAATTGCGGTAAGTACTTACTCTCTCCGAACTTCACCGCCCGTCGGTACGGAGGTACGGAGGTATGTGCTTACTATGTGTACGTCGCTCCTGCGCTCGAACTGACGGTCCCAGCGAGCAGGCTCAGGCGGTCCGTGTTGAGGACAAGACTTTTATCGGCATCGGCATCGGTCAAATCGCTCCAATCGCTGCGATCCATCGTGTTTGGAACACTGTAGGTAGAACGAGCTACGCACACGCCGTACGCTCTACGTAAGTGGTGTTTTCCTCAGTGCTCAACACAGTCCAGCTGATTTTTCCGCGCTGCCGTGGCAACTGCTGCTGAGTAGTGTCGCCGGTCGGTGCGTATGTAAGTATGTACGCGAAGCCGACGTTCACCCGTCCGACAATCGACAATCGCCACTGTCCACAACGTGCAAGCGAGGACCAGTATGTGCGATAATGCGCCATCGCTCGCGACCATGCCTCCCGGCTTCCGCGGCCACTAGTACAAGCGATCCCATCCAGGACCACTTTGCAGCCTGATTCACGGTCCCACGACCTGCGGAACCGCGTCTAGTACTCCTCCTCTCAGGCTTCTTTTGATTCCGGACTTTTCGCGCTGCTCGTCGAATCGTGCGTCATTCCAGATCTAAGTCTCTCTGATGCGCCGACGCCGCACCTCCTCCCCCCGCGTTCTGCATGCGATCACCGTACTCAATCGTTATATCCCGGCCGCACGGCCTACGGCCAGACACTCGCGAGCTGGTGCGTGCGCG